ACAATGCATCTCTTGTGTGTTTTTTTAATGTCTAGAACTATATATCTAAATCTAGTCATAGCCAAAACAGCTAAGTTAGATATCCACCTATTGCTGAGAAGCCCATTTATATTTCCTTACAGTGGGCAAAAGGTGAAGAAGTCAGGTTGGTTGAGGGAAGAGAAGCAAGCTCTAAGAGAAGCTATTCAGTAATAAAACAGATGTGGAGTTGTGTATTTGTATTTTAAGTGTGGTTTTCACTTCTGCAAGGTTTTTCTCTATGTGCTGCTTTTTCCTCCAAACCTTACCTTTGATCTTATAATGACAAAGTCAGGAATATTAATGGACAATTCTTCACAAAGTAGATTGTAAACATATGGAACTTATTATCTTAAGTGGGAACAAAGGCTGTAACAAAGAGGGTCAAGAAAGATTTAGCAAAATTCATAGGCAATAGATCCATACTAGGTTGTTAAGGGAAAATGAGATGTTGCTTTCTCCCACAAAACTTCTAGACAATCCATATTCTAGAAACACAAAAAAGCCAGGTGAGGGGTTGGGGGAAGTTACTCTAACTCCTGAGCTGCGTAGGCATACTATTCCTGTCTCTGTTACAGCACATATAAGATTGCATTGTAATTTGATCACGTGGTTTACATTCATGTTTTCCCAAATAGTATGTGAGCTCCTTGAGGCAAGTGTCCTGTTTAGTTTTGTATTCTCAGCACCTAACCCAGTCTGTGGCACCGAGGAGGCATTAACTGTTGAATACATATTCTCTATCCCGATAGCTACACCATGTACTCACTGCTCTGCTCCTGCATTCTGCCTCCCCGTTCCGTCACAATATTGAAAGGATGCTCTTTAAAAATTCATTAGGAAGCTCCCAAACAGCAAATCATTGGTCATTATCCTTTTTGATTCCACCATAGATATGTCTGTCATTGCTGACAATGCCCACCTCTCCTGCCTTCTTAATACTTCCCTCTTCCTTTGATTCTAGGACAATAATGTCTGCATTCTCCTCCTACCTGCTCGATTGCTCCTTGTTTATCTTCTTTGCTAGCTCTGCTTTTAGCTCCTTAGTGGAGGCATTTTCAAGGTTGTGACTTTGGTTCTCTTTTCTCTTAATAATCCCTTTAACAATCTCTTCTATGTCTACACTATAACCAGGACAATCAAGAACCCAACCATTTTGTCATGAAATCTACACTCACATTTCCAAGAACCTTCTAAACATCTTGACCTCAATGCTCTGCTACCACTTTCAATTAAACTTGCCCCGAATGAAATTTATCTTCTACTATCACCACTCCTTTTCCTGATCTCAATAGTTTAGTAACCCAACTGTTCAACCAGCCAATCAAACTCAAAACCCTAGGGTTATCTTTGACTCTTGGCTACTCCTTTCCCCCTAAATTATCTCCTTTGACTAAGAATATGACAGTAGATTTCTAATTCATCACTTGTACTCCTGTAGATGAAATGTTCTAATGTATAATAACTTTGATCATGTTCTTCCACTGCTTAAAAACCTTCAATAGACTCCCATTACTTAAAGAATTACATGGTAACGCTTAGTTTCTCATTCAAGCACTCCATGATATGGCACCAACCTATTTTTCCCGAATTATCTCTATACTTCTACACTTTATATATCCTATTTTCTGACTTACTGTACTATTTGCCATTGCTGAAAAATGCTTTGCACTTTCTTGCCTCTGAGTTTTTCTTAATGATGTTTCTTTTGACTAAAATACCCACTATTCCTACCTCCAACTCCCTCTGCTGGAATCCCTACTCATCCTTCAAAGCCTTTTTCTCCATGATTATTTTTCTGATATATTCAATAACATGTGCTATCTCCCTCCTCTGAACTCACATAGTATGTTATTAACACCTCTTGTGTGATACCTATTATCTTCTTCCTTATTCTGTAGTCTTTCTGTACTTTTTACCTTTCCTACAAATACACAGGATCTTATAACCAAAGAAATCTTATCTTCATTATTTCTTCATTCTCCATCATGGCTAACATAGTACCTTTCACAAAACAGATGTACAATAAATCAATGAATATTTAAGGGCTCATTTCCTAATCTATGAGTTTAAAATCAGCAAAGCCTGTGATCTGGGTTAATATTCAGCTAGTATGCACCAGTACAAACAGAGTGGCTATTGGCTGTGTGTATTCTGACTGGTTGGGGCCTGCACCCTATCAGTTATTAAAACTTTCAATATTACTCCTGATATGATAATAAACCTTAAAGTGTCTTTTGGTGCCCTTAATTGAAACAGCACATTCAGCTAAATGGGCCAGAGGCAATATTTGGGAGCTCCTTTTGAGTTACCTAAGGTGGTGGCTCTTAGAGAAGGGGCACAGGCTCAGTGTGGAAGATTTGTAATTTAGGCAACTAATCATGCCATTTATTAACATTTTGATTATCTAAAGAAGAATACAGACTATCACCTCATTTTCTCTAAGTATGGAATTGAAAACATTGCAATCAGAAAGACAACGGGCGATGGTAATGGAGATGGCGAGCACTGCAATAAGTACATCTTTGCTGTATGTGGTCCACTCTGATTTTTGAGTTTTTTTGGTTATTTCTTCTCATTTTACTTTACTTAGGGAAAATAGCCTTCTTTATAATTTGGCTTTTCTGCTTTTATCTCATCATGTTGGAGTGGAGGTTATTAAAAAGTAGCAAGGATGCCAACTGTTGAACAGAGAAAGTGTAACAATATTAAGTCCATGGGATCTTGAAAAGGAACCAAAATCAGATGCCTAAGAAAGTGAAAACAACAGGGACTAGCAGGAAAAGATGATTTAGCTAGGTAAGGCCAAGACAAGGAGGAAATCTGTACAAGTCCCTGGTTCTGCTGCTTCTAGTAAGAGGCAAAGACATAGGAGACATTTTGGCAAACTTACAAACTCTGTGCATTCTGTCCTCTCTCCCTCACTTCCAGCTCTTTTATTGATGTCCAAGGTGCTTTTCCAACCATTGCCACTGCCTGCCTTTGAATTTCTTTTTACTTCCGGACATTTTCTTAGCGTGCCGCCACTTGGAATGACTGTCACAACTAAATGGGTTGATATTTTTAACCCTATGTGCTCATGGAGGCACTCCAGCTATAAATCAAAGGAGATCCCAATTTAGATTACTTGGAATCAGTACGATACAATTATGCAGTTACTGAATATATTCTTGGTGTTTCACAGTTGACAACACTATATTCCCTTGAGTACCAAACTCACAGAAACCCCATGGAATGATCTCTCTCCCAGTACAGTTTTTCTAGAATCAATATGAGGTGTGAGACTAATCAGACAGGGGCTTTAGCAAATGTGTATTTTTAAAATAAACAGCCTACAAAGATTATGGCAGTTCTTTTACAGACCAGAATAACATGCTTTTACTTATCAGCTGCTTAACAGAGAATGGATGCAAAAATTATTTCAGTTTGCATTTCACTGACTATTAGTACTCTGATAGTTCAAGAAAGAACAGTGAAGGTTTTTTTTTTTTTTTTTCCTTAAGAGGTGGAAGGGGCCTCTGATAGGATGGTAGAATAGTCTCATTTTACAGATAAAGCCTGAGGATAGGTGGAATGGCTGCCTCAAAGCTACAGGTTAGTAGTACTCCTAGCATTCTGCCATGCAATATTACCTGAAAAAATAATATGAACATATAAATACAGATTTCCATTTTCCTTCCTCCAGTCTTCCACTCTTGTTGTAGGCTATCTTCAATGCTTTCATGCCCATAAAGCAGTCTTATACTCACTCTAACCAAAACGCCTCTCCCCTCTCAACCAAATCTTACCTTGGGCTAATCTCCCGGGGGACAATCCATGAATAGCAGAGGTGAAATGCTACCATTACTCATCAGGATTCACCCAAATGTGACAAGGATGAATATAACTTACATTGTCTTCTGCCATGAATTTCACCATTGCCAAAAGCTTTCCTGGAGGACTCTGCACTGGGCCCCGTTTCTCTCACTGGTTTATTGGAGTACAGTGGTTGTGAGAGCTAACAATTTCCATTCCAATGGCATATGATAACTTTTAGTCCAAACAGAGAATATTTTTTGAATTGTAGGCTATTCAAGGCAAATCTTATTAACCCCAATTAAGTAGAGTTTACATATTTACTATTTATTTTCCTTTTCTCATTTACTTCTCCAGATAGCTTTATAGACGATGAAGAGGACTCTTAAAATCAACATACCTAATTTCTTCCTCTACTTCAAGAAAGATACGAACTAAAAATGTAAAACCTTACTTAGAGGAGGTAGACAGTTCTGCCTACGTGGATTATCCTGAGGGGAGCTATTATTTACCTTAGCCATAGGGTAGGAACAGACAAGGTGGACAACTTTCTAATTCCACTGGAGTGAGGGAGGTTGTTTTACTTCGTTTATGTTTTTTCTTCCCCTGAGATAAATTTTCGGAGTGTGGCTTAATCTGTTACTAATCAAATATACACAAAAAACTTGTCCCAATGCTCGGGGATTTGAGGGTATCTCGGACTATCTGTGCCTCTCCTCCCTGTATGGGTAATAGAGAATAGACTACACTGCAGAACCAAGATGGCCTCTAGAAAGAAGCATTGTCTCTCAGCTTCCTTACCTGTGCGTAGCTAATGTGACATCTTTAGGGCCAATTACTTTTAATGATTTAATTACATTTATGGTTTTAACCTAATTTCCACCCAAACCACATGCTTATAAAATAACAATTAAAATATTTAATATTAAACACAGTGGGAGCCCTTATTTCTGATTTTTTTTTTTTGCAAAGTCTACAGTTATTTGAAGATTTATTTACCAAGTTGAAACTTGTAATCACATAGATGTAGAAGCCTGCTGAGATTTCACACGTGAACTGAGACCAACTCTTCAAAAAACAAAGTCTTCATGGGGAAGTTTTTTTATTTTTCCTTTTTTTGTTGTTGTTGGTGTTTGGCTCTGAACATTCACATTTTATAATACCATGTGAGGTGGAATGGGTTTTACCTGGATTCCTTGGAATTCGCTTTCTGCGGTCTCGGAATGCTGCACCTGATTGTAGGGCTTCTAGAAGATTATCCATCACACCAGTCTCATCACCCTCTGGAGGAAGGGAGAAATCAGAATTAATCTTGGAGCAATTAAAGTTAAACTACAGGAAAATAAAGGGAAAAACTCCTGTCAGATTTACATAATACCCTTAAATTAAAGACATATATCTGTTTTAACATAATGGATCCTGTCACTTTTTGGCACCACAGACTACTTTGCTTATTACGCACCATTAAGCAAAATTCATGCCAATCCCACTGTTCTTTCGACTTAAAGACCTTGTCTTTTGTATTATTGATGACACGCTCAGTATGCAAATAAACAGTAGCTGATCAGCTACTGCTGCCTTCCTGTTAAGATTCTTATAAGAGATTCCTTAGCAAGAAACTACTGACCCGGCTTAATGCAATCAATGTGCAGGGCGTGATTTGATGAAGCGGAGTTACACAAGGTTAAATACTGATTATATTAATACCTTCAGCATTCAACCATCATCTGTGATGATCTCAAAAAACACTATTTGAAAAATACATTTGCATTCAATTCCTACCTAATCCATATCCTTTATCCATTTTGAAATGCTGACATTGTACAAAGAAAAGGTGACCACATCATCCGAAAGGCCATATTTTACATTTGAGAGACATCAGTCAGAGTCTCACTTCCTTTCTAGAACGCTGTTGTGTGTCTAAATTTTTCCTGTGGGAAAGAACTGTTAAGAAGCCATGAGTGGAGTACTCCAAAAGATGTTCATGGAAATTCCTAACAGAAATAGCATTTAAAATATCTCACCCTACTCCGTTGACAAAGGCAGCCATCAAAAACACTTTTAAGACTTGTTAGAGCATTTGTCTCAAGGTGTCAGTTGCCAGAAACTCTCTCCTACACTGTGGATAATCCACAGTGAGCTGAGCCCTTTCTTCCCAACTGGCCTAGCTGATGAAAAGGACCCTAACTTTGAGTGGTGACTAAATGTGTGGGTCTGGGGTAGGGGACATTTGTAGGCAGGAAGGTTAAGAGAAGAAAGGACGAGACATTGTTCCTAATGCTATTCCAAGGTTAAATTTAAATCCTACTTTGTTTAAAGAATTAACTATGGGGTATCGGATCACAGAAAAAAAGATATTCTCTTATGGGATAAGAGGAAGCTAAAGTCTTTCTTGATTATGCTCTGCATTTGACTTGAGACTTCTTCATTGTTATAATAATTTATTCTCTTAAAATAAACTCTGTAGGACAGGATATTGAATGAAAAAAATGACAGGAACCACAGAGGTTTTTAGGCCTCATATTTGGTGAAAATAGGAAAAACAAAGTAGAGTCCAACGATCAAACAGGGAAACAAGATTGTGTACTTTTAATATTCATTAAGGTCTAACACATCTGAACAATCACCTGCTCTTTTCAGTAGAAAGAAAAGAGGAACCGAAAGTAGTTTGGCATGGCTAGAATGTACCTGGAAGAATTAAATTTTATGCAGTATACACTTAACAGTTGTTACATCTTCGAATTCTGACAACGACACATTGAGATAGGTACTGTTTCTGTTTGCTGGGGATACTGAAACTTAGACATCACACAGTTGGCATGTGGAGGGGCCCAGGTATGGCCCGAGATCAGTCTGACACCAAGACCAGACCTCTTTGCATAACGTGTGGTGGAAGTTGAAATGGACCAGTCATATCATGACCAGATGATGAAAGATCAAATGCTATGATATGGGACTTGAACACTATTCTATAAGCCAGCATAGTTTAAAAGGTATATAATGTAGGCCACAAATGTGAACCACATAAATAATTTTAAATACCGTAGTAGTCATATTAAAAAAAAATAAAAAGAAACAGGTGAAATTGATTTTAATATATTAAGTAAATATTTAACAAATATATACAAAAAATAATGATATATTTTCTGTTCTTTTTATCAGACTAAGTCTTAGAAATCCAGTGTATATTTACTTCTGCACACCTCAATTCAGATTAGCTACATTTCAGGCACTCAAGAGCCCCATGTCGCTGGTTGCTACTGTATTGGACAGCACGGTCATAAATAATAGACAGTGACTTGATGAGAATTAAGCTTTAGAATGATTTATCAGACAGCATTGTGGAGGATGACTCAGAGGATGACAAGACAGAAGGCAGAGAAATTTTTAGGTGCATAACATATAAAGTAACATTAAGTAACACATAAAGGCCCGAACTAACGGGAGAGCAGAGTGAATAGAGGAGACGGATATTTTGAAGGTATTAATACGGCCAATGGGACTTGGCTGGGTGGGTGAGTGGTGAGATTACAGAGGAGGGAAGGAGACTAGATGACCAGGGATAAACAAATTTGAGAAAATGTGATCTATTTGAGATGCCTAAGAAATATCTAAACAGAGATAACCAGGAAGAAGCTAGAAACATGGGTCTGGAACCCAGGAGTGAAGTCTGGGCTAAAGCTAAAAATTTGGGTGTCATCAGAAAATGGATGAGATTACCCTGAGATAGAGGAGGGGGTGGAGGATGCAATTCCAGAGGACCACAACTTTTAAGATCAATATGTAAAAATTAATAAGTAAAAATTATACATATTTATAGTGTACAACATGATGTTTTGATATATGTATACGTTGTGGAATGACTAAATCAAGCTAGTTAACATACGTGTTACCTCACTTCTCATTTTTTTGTGGTGACAACACTTACAGTCTCTCGGCAATTTTCAAATACATAATATATTGTTACTAACTATAGTTACCATGATATATAATAGATCTCTTGAACTTATCCCTCCTGTCTAAAATTTTGTGTCCTTTGACCAATATCTCCCTAATCCTCCCACCCCTGGAGGACCCCAACTTTTAGCAGGCAGTCAGGAGAAGTAGAAGTGCAAAGAATACCAGGAAGGAATTTTTAGAGCTATAGAAGTACAAGCAGGAAAGAACAACAGCACAAGTGAATTTTATGTATCCTTATAAAAATGAAAATTATAAAGACTTTGTATAAAAATAAACATGTGTAAACAAGTGACAAGAAAAGAATACAAAACAGTATGTATTTATGGTTTACATAAATAATATGCAAACATAAAAATCGTATAATATACATGGATAGTTTTATTAAAATTCTTTAATGCTATTATATTGTGATTAGACTAAAAGATGGAAAACACAAATATGACATAGAGAGGAATTAAAAAGAAATCCCTTTGCTTAATTTAGTTGCTGCCACCTGACAACACTTATCAAAATATTATTATGCTAGATCAGTGTTTCCTAGTCTTTTTTCATTATTATTCTCCTCCCCACCCTTGGAGCCTTTTAGACATTTTTTTCCTAATGTCCCCCCCACTGTTAAAATTTAACGCCATAGATATATGTTATATCTGTTTATGTACTGTGGCCCTTTAGAGGGCTACAAACCATTGCAATGTCTAAGGTTTTTCTCCACCCACCTTCCCAGGAACCAATATTCATCCCTTTTGGGGTGATATTATTCCTGCTGAGAATGCATGTGCTAGACAGTGGTGCTAAAAAAAAAAAAAAATCCTTTGTAAACAGCAGTGATGTATTAAAGGAAAAAAATGTAGGCTTCAGTCCCCTATTACTTTTTCATTTGCTCCATGATAAATTTCAAAGGAGCTGAGTGTTTTCCATGAAATGTCTAACCTTACTGAATCAAGAAGGTTTTACGAATATAATCATAGGATGGATTTATATTTCAGTTAGTCTTCCTAAAACAAAATGGAAGCCAACAAGATCATTTGAAAGAAGTTATCCTTCATTTTGAATGAATTTCAGTGAAATTTGGTAAGTGATTGAACTTGAGGTTGACAGTTCACTTAGAATTTCCAAGTTCATAGAATCATTAATTCTTACTTAGATGTGATTAGTAGTGAGTAGATTTTATTTTTCGTCTGAGTTCAAACTCAAGAAAAAAAATATTTTAAGTGTTTTGTTTTCATTGAAAAAGAAATTTATTCAACATATGTACAAAAAATGTCGATTTTTATTTTTACAACTTACAATACCTATTTTACTGAGTGAAAGAATATCAAGAGGAAATTTGGTAATGCTTTTTAGCCGCTAAAATGACAATATACAGGCATGTCTTAGAGGTAACAATTCAGAGGCAACTTTCTAATCAGCCTGAAATTAGTTACAGACAATTCTAAGGACCTAGGTAGGCTGCGTGCAGTCTATGGGCTCTGTATGAGCTGCTTATCAGATAAAACAAAAGGCACAAGTAGTACCATCTTTTTCATGTTTCCCACAATATTTGTCATTTAGTGGATGCTGAATGCCTGCTGATCTCAATTTTCAGTATCAACATTTACCTGTGCTGTGTTGACTTGATTTCCCCAAAAGAATCCGGAGATGCTACAGATTAAAATTAGCACTAGGTAAATTAATTATTTCTGCTACACCTTTGTGCAAGCCTATTCCCCATTGGCTAGCACCTACTTGAGACAATTCTCTATTTCACATTTCTGTACATTTTATGAGCAGAGGCACTGATGGCCTTTGTTCTGGATTATCTTTTCAAGGATGTTTTTATAGTGAATAGTCTTGGAAGACAGTGTCTCCCTCCAGAGAAGAGGGCAGGTTTGTTTGCTTTGAAGACAGATCATAGCTTCCTACAGGGCAAATGTCAGGGGGGTTTGTTTTCAGTCCATTATAAAAGATTTGGGTTCCCTAAGCATGGGATTCCTCAGCAGTTGACACAAACACTCTATGAGTGCAGCATCCACCTGGTTCTGCCTTCGCATCACCCTTTTGGAGTTGGAGGGCAAGGGAAGACAATGTGTTCTGTGTCTTTGACCTAGGAGTCTTGTGTCTTCTGCCAGCATCCCTGAAACTGTGGCAGGCTAGCTTGTTAGCATGCAAGTAGGGTAAAATCTCTGACCCTTCACAGTTTTTAAAACTACTCTGTGCTCTCCTTCCTTTTTATCAAACACTATTAATTAGAATAATCCTTATTCCTCTAGGAACTTAAGCACCTAGTACCTTGGACTCTCCCATTCCCTAAGACCCCATTCCAGTTCATTACACCTTGAAAATTGCCAAACTAAAGCCAATACTATAAAAATCATTTCCCAAAAATCTTAACGACCTGGGCATAATGGCTTTAATTCACTGTTACAGCCTCCTTGAATTCTCAATTGCATAATTAAAGCTTTCTGCAAAAGTTGAGCTGCTCAAAGTTGAAAAAAGTTGCTGTGAACCAATCAGTGTTAAGTGACCCAAAGGAAGCAGCAAAGGCTTCTTGTTGAAGGTAAGACTCTTCCATGTGAGATAATACCTCACATTAAATAATAATACCTCGTATTAAATAATTTTTAAAAATAAAACTATGCTCTCTGTGGGTTCAAGGAGTTGGGGAAGACTTTATGGAAGGAATAGGGCTTAAATTAAGCCTCTGAAAACATTACATTTCTATAGCACTTTAGGCATTATAATTCCATTTAAATGACACAGAAACGGATCAAAAAAACTAGACCATATGACTGATTCGAAGATATTAAAACCTGGATTTCTTAACTCCTAGTGCACACGTATGTGTGTGCTTTGTGTGTATGTGTATAAATTTACAAATAATGAAATGCACAGATATTAAGTATACAGTTTGAAGAGTTTTAAAAAATATATACACCCATGTAAATACCAGCACAATCAAGATATTGAACATTTCCATCACTTCAGAAAGTTCCTTCTGGCCTCCACCACTCAGAGGCAACCTGTCTGATTTCTATCATCACATATTAGTTTTATCTATTCATAGCATATAATTATAACGGGGTAGGTAAAAAGAGTCAAGGTTTGTTTTGAATCATTGTAGCCATCTGAAATAAAATATGCACGGTGTGCATGATAAACCATGAGAAGAGAAACAGAGTTGAAAGATAGAGGAGTTAGAGTTGGATAGGTAAGATCAGAGCAAAGTTCTAAAGAAGCTTGGATGTCAAAGTAATTAGTATGAACAGCTTCAATGGACTCTAAAAAACTGCCAGTAGATCTTCAGCGGGACAGTGACGTGATGAAGGTGGCATTTAAGATCAGCCTCACAGTAGTATGCAAAATGGACCATAGTGGGAGAGAAATCAACTGTACAAAGAACAGAATTTAGTTCACAGTGACAAATATTATTTTTGTGCATATAACCCTGACCAAAGTAGGATGGTCAATTTTGGCATTATTGGTAAAAGAATAAATAGGAAAATAAAATTGGCTTTGTGAGCAAGGTCATCAGCAGTAGTAAATGGAAGTTGACAGCATAAGAAGGCAGTGACAAGTGGAGTGCAAGGAAAATCAGTGTTAGATTCAATCTTTTTCACACTATCATGGTTCAGATTAAGAACATCCTGCAAGACGTACAGATTTGTAGATGACACAAAATTAGAAGACTGCTCACTTAGTAAAGAAAAGGAAAACAAAATTCCTTCTCCGAGATCTAAAAAAAAACCCCAAAATAACAACAAAAAAATACAAAGACCCAGGCCTGACAAATAACTCTTATAATTTAACATGGAACAATAGGAGATAAGACTAAGTAAAAGGCTACCACGATATAGTGAAAATAACACATTGTGCTGAAAGACCTTAATATCTTTCAGTAATAGTGTAAATGAATCAGAAATAAGAGAAATCAAACTATTTGGCAAAGCCCATATCAACAGACATGATAAAAGCCTGAGCAACTTGTATTGCAGTCCACGAGCACCTAGAAAGCCTCTACCTGATAGAAGATTTTTGTTAGTTTGCAGTTTAATTGCAAGTGAATGAAGAATGGAGTTAACGGTGACCTGGAAAATCAACAGATGGTAACTAAGATAATAGTCTGTGAAGTTATTTATGGCCAGAAAAGTATTCAAGAAAATCAAGATATTATTCCAAAGAGATTAAAAGAGGGCATAAATAGAAAGTATAAAGTTCTAAGGAAAATAATGAAGGCAGATGCTCCTATTGAAAAGAAAATTTTCAAGAGGGAAAAGAGGACACAGGAGCTTAGAAGAAATTACCAGAAACCACAGGATGAACTAAGGGCAACGTAGTAATTACATTATGCATTAGTTGAAAATTTGTAAAACAAAACAGGAAAACATTACATTCCCAGGTTGAGGTCTTTCACAGTGGTATGCACCAAAACTCAAAATTAATCTCAGAGCAATTAAAGTTAAAACTATAGGGGAAAATGTCAGTTAGAGAGTTCATTCATTCTGTTATCTCATCTTTTTGCCAAAACAGGTAATTAACAGTTTCCTACAGTGAGGTAAATCATCAAATACCAGATAAACTTCACAGTGAATACTACTCTTCCTAAATAATTTTAATTTAAAATTAATGTTTTAGGTATATTTTATCGTGGAATAAATACTGTATTAGGGGTCACAGGATAAGTGGATATTCAACCCCAAAGTGAGGAATGATAAAAGATGAGGTGATTTCTCTCCAAATATCTACATGAGAGGTGTTACCTAAAAGTTTGCCAGGGGAAATGAATTGGTAAGTTAACTTTCCTCAGGGAAAATCTGTACTGTATCTTAAAGAGAAGCATGTTAACACGAATGAATTTCTAATGGTAGAGTTTCACTGAAGGAACTTTTCAGCAAAAGGCACCTTTTTGGCAGTTTGCCTAAGGTAAGAGAGCTTGATAGTAAATGGTAGTTAAAAATAATGTTTATGCTTATTCATTTTTTCCTAGTTACCTATATGCTAGAAGATCAGGAGAAGAAAATTACACATTCTATAAATAAAGAAACACCCAATAAACCTGATTGTTAATGCTTACCAGAAAAACCACTGTTGATGCCTCTGGTAAAATATCTCACATTCAATATTTTAAATAATTAATATTTCAAAGAGACCTTTGAAATACTCTGTGTGTCTTATCATAATCAATCATTTACTAAGGGCGTTCGCTTGTGAAGGGAAAAGTAAGCAAAAACAAACTTAGAAAAAGAACAAATCTAACTCAATTCAAAACCTATCTACCAAAGTAAATCTGAGTTTATCTTCTGAAAAGATAAAACAAAGATGTTTTTGGAGGTAGGAATATTAATAATATCTACCATTCATTGAAAGATTATTTGTCAGGCACTGTTCTAAGGGATTTATATTGAACCCCACACCAGCCTATTTTCTTTTCCAGGTAAAGAAACAGAAGCAAATTTAGGTGAATTAACCTGTTCAAGGTCACATAGTTGGGAAGTGATAGAACCAGCATTAGAACCCAGGGATGTCTTGAATAGGGATGCCAAGCTACAGCCCTTGTGGTAAAAATCCAGCCTACTACCTGTTTTTGTATAGCCCACGTGCTAAGGATGATTTTCACATTTTAAATGGTTTTTAACAAATAAAAAGAAGAATATTTTGTGCTACATAACAATTTAACAAAATTCAAATTTCAGTCCCTAAGTTTTATGGGAACACAGCCAAGCTCATTCATTATGTATTTTCCATGGTTGCTTTCATGCTACAATGGCATAGTTAAGTTGTTGTGACAGAGACCTTATGGCCTGTAAAGCCTAAAATATTTACTATTTATTTGGCCCTTTACAGAAAAAGTTTGCCCACCCTTGCTCTAGAGTATACACTGTCAACATCAAAACCACTCTAGTAGCCAGGTGCAGTGGTGCACACTTGTAGTCCCAAATACTCGGAAGCCGAAGGAAAAGAACCCCTGAACCCAAGAAGTTGAAGCCAAACCGGGCAAAAAAACAAAAACCCAATTCCCAAAAAAAAAAAAAAAAAACGGTACAGACATTTGTGGATCTTACAATCTGCTTCTGAGGTGCCAAAGGACCTCGGCAAGGGCCGGCCATATCAGTAAAACAAGATTAATCCAGTCCAAACTCTGCCTTGTGGCCCTGAGAAAGTCACACAAGTGCTCTTGCTCTATCTTGGTATACTAAAGGATTAGATTGGA